AGGGTTGGCATCTACAAACAACTCTGGGTACTTCTCCCTCATCTCATCCTCCCGTTCCCAGGTGGCCTCCTCTGCTGACTGGTTCCCCCACCACACCTTGACAAATGCAATTTCCTTGGTGCGCAAGGTCCTTACCTCGGGAGCTAGGACCCCCACTGGTTTCTCCTCGTAGCTTAAGCCTTCGGTCACGTCCAGAGTCGAATAATCTATCACGTGCGTGGGGTTCGCTAAGTACTTGCGAAGGGTCGATACATGGAACACGTTGTGTATGGATGAGAGAGACGGGGGTACGGCTAATCTATACGCAACAGGTCCGATTCGCTCCAAAATCTCGAAGGGTCCTATGAAGCGCGGACTCAATTTGCCCTTTCGTCCGAACCTCAAAACGCCCTTCATGGGGGCCACCCTTAGGAATACCATGTCCCCCACTTCGAACTCCGAGTTTCTTCGCCTCGAGTCCACGTAGCTCTTCTGTCTACTCTGAGCCATGCGCATCCTCCCCCTGATCTACTGCATCGCCTCGTTGGTGACTTGGACCAGCTCCGGACCCATCAATTCCCGTTCCCCTACCTCGCCCCAGCATAATGGTGTCCTACACCGCCTTCCATACAATGCCTCGTACGGTGCCATACCGATTGTTGCCTGGTAGCTGTTATTATAAGCGAATTCCATAAGGTGCAATTTTGAGTCCCAACTCCCAGAGAAATCCAGTACACAGGCCCGCAACATTTCCTCTAAAACTTGGTTCAAGCGTTCCATTTGGCCATCAGTCTGTGGGTGGTACGCTGTGCTGAAGTCCAGTCGAGTGCCTAACGCCTTCTGGAGTCCGCGCCAAAATGTCGAAGTAAACCGTGGGTCTCGGTCAGATACGATCGACACAGGGACCCCATGCAACCTGACGATTTCCTTCATGTACAGTTGTGCCCACATGTCCACTGTATAGGTAGCCTTGCCGGGGAGGAAATGTGCTGACTTCGTTAATCTGTCCACGACCACCCATATGACCGTGTAACCCTTTAGCGTCTTGGGCAGGCCCACTATAAAATCCATGGCGATGTTCTCCCACTTCCACTCCGGTATGTTGAGGGGCTGTAGTAATCCTGCTGGTCTCTGTCTGGGTGCTTTAACCTGTTGGCAAACCAAGCATCTGCTGACGAATTCCGCGATATCCTTCTTCATACCACACCACCAGAAGTGGGGTCTGAGGTCCTGATACATCTTCGTGCCGCCAGGGTGCATGACAAATGGGGAGTTATGCGCTTCACTTAGGATTTCACCCCTCAATTCCCCTATCGCCGGTACACACAAGCGACCGTGGTACAGTAACCCACCATCTGCTGCCTTGGAATACCCACCCGCTGGTTCGGTTTCCATTTCGTTAAGTGCCCTAGCTAAATCGGAGTCCCTTGCCTGTGCTTCAATGACTCTCTGTCGAAGGGTGGGTTGCACCGTTAGTCGAGCCAGTTGCGCCTTAATACCCTCCAGGGCTACTACTATCCCCGCTCGCTCGAAGTCTACCTGCACTCAAGGTTCTTTCGTGATTAGTGCCGACGAATGCGCTGCCTTCCTACTCAGGGCATCTGCGACCGCGTTGGCCTTCCCGGGGTGATACTGGATGTCTATATCATAATCCTTGACCAGCTCTAACCACCGCCGTTGCCTCATATTTAATTCCTTCTGGGTGAAGAAGTACTTCAGGCTCTTATGGTCGGTATAAATTTGAGTCCTCTCCCCATACAGGTAGTGTCGCCATATTTTTAACGCGAAGACTACTGCTGCCAGTTCCAAGTCATGCACAGGGTAGTTCTTTTCATAGTCCTTCAGTTGTCTGGATGCGTAGGCAATAACCCTCCCACGTTGCATCAACACGCACCCTAGGCCCCTTTTGGAAGCATCACTGAATATGACGTAGTTCCCTGTACCATCGGGCATTGTGAGCACGGGCGCGGTCGCCAGTCTCTCCTTTAGGTCCCGGAAGCTTGCCTCGCACTCCTCGGTCCATACGAATGGCGTAGCCTTTCGAGTTAGTTGTGAGAGAGGCGCCGCTATCTTGGAGAAGTCTTGCACGAAGCGGCGGTAGTAACCTGCCAGACAGTTGTGAGAGAGGCGCCGCTATCTTGGAGAAGTCTTGCACGAAGCGGCGGTAGTAACCTGCCAGACCCAGGAAACTCTGTACCTCAGTCACCGTAGTTGGGCGGGCCCAGCCGGTGACCGCCTCCACCTTGGCGGGGTCCACTGACACTCCTTCTGCCGATATCACATGCCCCAAGAATGAGACTTCGCGTAACCAAAACTCACATTTCGAGAACTTGGCATACAACCTGTTTTCCCTCAAGACTGTCAAGGCCTTCCTCAAGTGTGTTTGGTGCTCCTGATCCGTCCTTGAGTATACCAGGATGTCATCTATGAATACAATGACAAAGGTATCCAAGTACTCCTTGAACACCCGATTCATCAGTTCCATAAACACTGCAGGAGCATTGGTGAGTCCAAACGACATTACTACAAACTCATAGTGGCCGTACCTTGTTCTGAAAGCTGTTTTTGGCACGTCCTCGTTTTTTATCTTGATCTGATGGTAACCTGAGCGAAGGTCGATCTTTGAGAACACCGTGGCCTCTCTGAGCTGATCAAATAAGTCTTCGATGCGTGGGAGGGGGTACCTGTTCTTCACTGTCCTCTTATTCAGTTCCCTGTAATCGACGCACAAGCGCATGGAACCGTCCTTTTTCTTGACGAATAAAACCGGTGCGCCCCAAGGCGACACGCTCGGTCTGATAAACCCCTTGTCTAGCAGTTCTTGTAGTTGCACCTTAAGTTCCTTAAGCTCTGCTGGTGCCATGCGGTACGGTGCCTTGGATATGGGGCCGGTCCCTGGTTCCAATTTTATAGCGAAGTCGACATCTCGGGATGGGGGAGTCCCCGGCAGGTCCTCCGGGAACACATCTGGGAACTCACTCACTATAGGCAACTCGGTTAGGGGGACGCCTTCTTCCTTGATCCTTGCCACGCTGGCTAGCATCGCCCAGGCCCCGTGTCGGACCAGCTTCTTCGCCTTCATCATCGATATCACCTTGGGCATCGTACCCAGACTAATGCCCTTGAACCTGTCCTCGACGGTGGCGTGAAAACGACCTCCTTCTTGTGGCAGTCTATGCTAGCATGGTGTTCCGCTAACCAGTCCATGCCTAGGATTACATCGTACACGGTCATATCGACCACCATTAAGTCTACACCCAAGCTAACTCCTGATATTACTACATGACCATCCTTTACCCTATAGGCGGCGACCATATCCACCCCTGCCGGGGTGCCCACTAGAAAATCGTGTAATAGGGGTTCTAACACTATCCCCGCTTGACTAACAAAAGTAGTGGAAATAAAGGAGTGCGTAGATCCAGAGTCAAACAACGTCAAAGCGAAATGACCAAGGATGGATAGTGTACCTGTCACTGCCGCGTCCGGGTTTACCACGTCCCTGCTAGTGGAGGCATAGGCTCTCGCTGGGGGGCGGTTCTGGGTGGGGGCATCTGCTATGCGTAGTGGCCTTTGCTGGGCCCCGGTGTCATTGACGCGACCTCCCGGGCAGTCTCTGGCTAAGTGACCCTCCTTCTCGCATCGGAAGCAGGCCCCGGAGCGACCTAGGCACCGCCCCCAATGGGTCTTCCCACACTCGCCGCACTTGGGTCGATCGTCTGCCCTGCCCTCTCTTCCCTGTTGGCCCCGAGGACGAATCGCGGCGGTCACCCCAGTCACGGCGTCGCCTTCGTCTCTCGGTTGGTGAGCGGGACCCGCGACGGTCATCTCGGTCACTGCGTCATTTTCGTCTCTGGGTCGATGAGCGGGATTCACTTGGTCCATCAGTCCCCTCCATGGCCCGTGCTACTCTCATCGCGTCAGCGTAAGTCTTGGGTGCTATCGCTTCAACCACGTTACGTATCTTCCGGTCCAGCCCAAGCACAAACCGGCGAGCCGTCCGGTAGTCGGTGTCCACCAAGTCCGGGGCGAAGCATTTCAACTTGGCGAACTCTCTGGCATAGGCAGTAACTGAACGCCCTCTCTGTTTCAAGTGAGTGAATTCCTGATGCTTGCGGGTCTGGACGTCCTCGGGGTAGTACGCCTCTGCAAAGGCCTCCCTGAATTCTGTCCATGAAATTTCGCCCCCCGGGTCTAATAAGCTCCCGGGTGGAGCGCCACCATACTTGAGCATCGGCACGCAGCATGAATGCTGCGCATTCCACCTTTTGATCTTCGGGGCAGTTTGTCAGCCTGAATACGGTCTCTATCGAACTCAGCCACAACTGTGCCTCGGTCGGGTCGTCAGAGGTCCCCTTAAAGGTCTGTGGGTCACCTCGCTTAAAATCTCGCAGGCACCTGGCTTCCCTGGTGGAGGCGGAGTCATTCGCAGGCTGGCCTCCTGACAGGTTTCGTACCACGACCCGCAATACATCGACCAATTCCGCCGCTGAGTCTCGGGCGGGCTGGGGTGTCGCCGGCCACGGGCACGTCACCGTTACGTCGGGCCCCTCCCAGGTGTCCTCGCGGCCGGGACCCCGCCTCCTCACGCTGCTACCCCTAACTGGGGTTCGCCTCCTAGTACTCCCTCCTCGCGTCCTGGGTGGCATATCTACCCCTAGCAATAGCGATGAGGTTACATACTATTCCCCCACTTCCATGATCAATCACAAAGGCATAAGTCGCGTACGCACGCAATGGCATTAGCCGGACACACACAAGCATAAATCGGGCACATCATGGAACATATCACATCAGAACAATTACATCCGTAATTCTCTCTTACCCATGTACACATACCTGACGTGATGGTGTGGTTGCTGGAGGACCATGGAGATGCCTTAGGCCTACATCGTAGACCAGTCTACAAGATCTGTGACCTAGGGCTTTGATACCAACTGTAACGCCCCTAATTTTCCCCACCCTAATTAGCGACGCTACCTTATACTCGTCAAATCAACAGGAAAAGGGGCTCACATGGAACAGTCTCGATAACGAAAATGCATTCATCAATTTAAGCAGTTCATACCTAGAAAATCAATTGCGACAACCTAGCCTAGAAGTAATCAACAGAGACTAAACAAACACTTCGCAAAACTAAGAACCCAAGAGAACCCAACAGGCGCTACGACACAACAAACCCTCCTCAAGGTTTCCATGGCCCTTCGCCTCATCCACCGTCACCCGTACATGGGAGCCTTGCCTTTTCCTGAAAAATATTGGTAGCACGTGGCTTGAGTATTATATAAAATACCCAGTAAGTCGCCCCACTGTTGGGGTTAAGCATATATTCATACATTCGGATACAAGCAGTCGCACACAGTACATCTACATGTCGCACATGATACACATACATGACGCACGCAACACACATACATGTCACACAGAAATACCCATACATGTCACACATCGTTACCATACATGCCGCACACTGCTAGAAGAACGGAACTGAGAGAGAGCTTTGTCTTCCATTCCTTCCCATGGCCTTAGGCCCTTGCCTTGTCCGGGCGGGGGTGGATGCATGGTAATTTCCCACACATGGCCCACGTGTGTGACTGTGGGCCCACCAGGCGAGCTCGCAAGCGAGCTCCCTGGGCCTGGCTTGGTCGGGTATGTATGACATACAATACCGGACGCCACAGACAAAGGAGGGCCTGCATGATATCGTGGCGAACACAATATCGAATATACGCATCCTTACCATCAGTAGCATAACGGGGGAGTGCCCCAAGTACATAACCATAGCGTGCATGAGGTTCTTAAGGTTTACCTCCATGCCATTACACCTACGACGCTCCATCCCCTCGCCGCATTACATAGCATAACCGGGTTCACATTAGGCAAGCATATCATAGCATAACCGGGTCCACATTGAGCAAGCATATCCTAGCATACTAGTCATCTTATTCATGGCATGTGGGGTTCTCATTACAATCATGACATGTCAATCAAGCTCATCATGCATACAGGGCGACGAAACGCGCCACAACATCATATTCATAAACATGGCATACCTAGCAATTCACTGCAAGAATCACATACATAAACAAAGCATGCGTAGCATTTCACGGCAAGAAACATCTAACCTAGCATACAGCAACAACCTATGGTGCATGCAAGGGCCACAGGGCACGCACCAACATACATACATAACTAACGCCAACAGTAAGGTTACTTACCTCCTTGACCTTGACCGAAGTCGCCCACAACGCTAACTCCAGCGCCTAACTACTTTCTCAAATGGTTGAAACGAGGGCGGAAATGGCTTCGGAAGGGTCGAAAACCTAGGAATCGGTATACTATTCGGGTGTCGAGCCGCCAAGCCGCACTTAGCCGAACCGGAGGTTCGCGAAGCCGCCGGTGGAGCAGAAATCGATGGCTGCGACGAACACCGCCGGCGCAGGGTTTCTGGAACGCCTCCGGCTTGGGCCACAAAGGGGACGAGGCTCTGGGGTGGTGTCCGAACGCGGGCTGCACGC